ACTCGTTTATTTACAGACCGCCGCCATACTGCTGGAATATTGCTGTGTGCGGCGTTAAACAACAACCCAAACCAAATCCTCCCTCCGTCGTTCACATTATCGATTATAATGGGGGACCGTTATATGATTAACGTGGAGGCGTCACGACAGAATTGTATCGTGCACTTTTGCACACAATTATCTGCGTGTCATCTTCTTGTGAAGTATGTCAAAATTCATCAAGAAAACAAGGCATTGAACTGTTTTCAAATTCAAGGTAAGGATTTTTGACACAATCTCAATCTCAATCTCAGTGTCAGTGTTTATTTTGCTGATGCATCTGTACAGCTGGGCGTTACAGGAATACCTGCCCACCAAGATCTGTCATAAGGAAACGGCACAGGCTAAGTTCTTTCCAGAGGTATCTCCCAGGACGACCACACTTCCAACTACAGGAGTGTTGCCTGAGACTGATGACGTCAGAGCTGAGCCAGCCAGTAGTTGATAGCAGGAGCAACGTTTATGTATACAGTCATCTGTTTCTGCAACTCTCACCACCGTATGTATACAGTCATCCGGGTCCACCACTCTCGCCACCGTATGTATACAGTCATCCGGGTCCGCGACTCTCACCACCGTATGTATACAGTCATCCGGGTCCACCGCTCTCACCACCGTATGTATACAGTCATCCGGGTCCGCCGCTCTCACCACCGTATGTATGCAGTCATCCGGGTCCGCCGCTCTCACCACCGTATGTATGCAGTCATCCGGCCCGCCACTCTCACCACCGTATGTATACAGTCATCCGGGTCCGCCGCTCTCACCACCGTATGTATACAGTCATCCGGGTCCGCCGCTCTCACCACCGTATGTATACAGTCATCCGGGTCCGCCGCTCTCACCACCGTATGTATACAGTCATCCGGGTCCGCCGCTCTCACCACGATATGTATACAGTCATAGGGGTCCGCCACACTCGCCACCATATGTATACAGTCATCAGGGTCCGCCGCTCTCACCACCATATGTATACAGTCATCCGGGTCCGCGACTCTCACCACCGTATGTATACAGTCATCCGGGTCCGCCGCTCTCACCACGATATGTATACAGTCATAGGGGTCCGCCACACTCGCCACCATATGTATACAGTCATCCGGGTCCGCCGCTCTCACCACCATATGTATACAGTCATCCGGGTCCGCGACTCTCACCACCGTATGTATACAGTCATCCGGGTCCGCCACTCTCACCACCGTATGTATGCAGTCATCCGGGTCCGCGACTCTCACCACCGTATGTATACAGTCATCCGGGTCCGCCACTCTCACCAATGATGACCCCACAGGACCCACAGACCACATGACCACATGTGGCCCCACACATGAGACACACGAACAGAAGGACACAGAAGAGAAGGACCAACCCATGACACACACAGGAAATATGGCCACAAGACAGACACAGAAGGACCAACCCAAGGAGAAGGACACAGACAACCCAGACCACATGACAGAGACCACACACGAGAGGAAGGACACATGACCGACCCATGAACAGACCACAAGGACCCCACAGACCCACCACACACAGCACAGACACATGACCACAGGAAGGACCACACAGAGCCACACACACACAACAAGACACCAACACACAGACCACAAGGACCCCACAGGCCCCACACACACAGACCCCATGGCCACAGACCCAACCCACAGACCCCACACACATGACCCCACAGACCACACACCACAGCCCCACAGGCCACAGACACAAGGACCCCACAGACGGACACACACAACCCAAGGACACAGACCCCACAGGAAGACACCATGGGAGACACACACACACAGAGCCCACAGAAGACCCCACACAGACCACACAACCCCACAGACACAGACACACATGACACATGGAGGTGAACACAGACCAAGGACAAGGACCACACACAGAACACAGAAAAGAGGTGTGGTAGATGGACCCAGTGTGTGGTAGCCAATAGACATTCATGAGGTGAAGGACAGAAAAGGTAGTGAATATAGTAGGTAGATGGAGATGGCCACAGAGATGGAATAAGGAGGTATTTAAGGATGGAATGGAAGAAGGACAAGGATGAAGGACAAATGGACAAGAAGATGAAGAGGTGGACACATAGTAGAAAGATTTATCTTAGGTATTTGGCCAGTGGTAGAGGATGAAGGAAGATGAAGGAAAAGAGATGGAATGGAAGATGAAGAGGTAGATGGAATGGAAAAGATGAAGGAATGAAGGGTAGTGGATGGAATGGTGGAAGGAAGATGGAAGGGTAGTGAAGCAGGGTGAAGATGGAGCATGGTGGATGGAAGGGATGGCCAGTGGGAAGGGCCCAACCTATCAGGGCAGGTCCCATTCTAATTCCATCAGATCATTCCACCATGAGGCAGAAGATCACCATGGGCAGGATCATCCCAACGAAGACCCCAAGCCATGAGGCCCACAGAAGACACACCAAGGACCCACAGACCACAGGAGGTGGCCAGGCATAGACACAGGCACAACCCCACACATGGACCACAGGAAACGACCACATGGCCCCACAGACCCCACATCCCCACAAGGACCACAGCCCCACGACCACAGACCCCACACAACCAACAGACCCCACAAGGACACAGACACGACCCCACATGTGGTAGATGGCCACCCCACAGTGGTAGATCCCCACAGCCCCACAGGTAGACAGACCCCACACATGCAGGCAGACACACCACGGAAAGGAACAGGCCAAGAGGACACACACATGGCAGAGCCAACTCCCACAGACCCCACAACGGCCATGGAAGAGGTAGTCTCAGTAGCTTTGGCAACCGATCTCCAAAATTCAGACAGCCAATTCAAATCAATGGCTTTCAGCAAAATTGTTTTCATTTGAATTCAAGACGTAAAGTGATAAATGCATGGACTCATCTGCTTAATCCATTCGGCATACTAGTTAAACGTCAACACATTTAATAATATTAAAGATTATGAAAAGGACGTTTTCGTTAAATTGCATGAATAACTGGATACACTGGTAAAATGTACGTCCCCAAGAGGAATGGATTGCATGAACAAAAGGGTTTCTTTGTTCCTTTACATTCTACTAGACAAAGAAACATATTGGTACCAAAGTTTCTCTCATTATTTGATCATATTTTTAGCAATACTGCAGATTGTCATTCATAGATCTGCCGCCTTATGGCTATATGGCACGCGGTTGGTATAACAGTGACGTATGCTAAAGTCGTATTGGACAACGTTGGAATAAAAGTTCCGAACGTACTGGTATCGTATATTTCAGTAACGTACATTTCTTTCTGTAAACAATTTCCGCATATCTGTTCAAATTTGGTATAGTTTAAACACAAAATGTTGATATCGTGATGACACCATTAATGTTTGTAATTATCATGCAAGTTAGATTTGGATATACATGCATTTTGTTGAAAGAATGAGGACTGGTTTATGCATATACAACTTCTTTATTCTGTATAGGCGACGTTTCGACATAGATTCTAATGTCGTTGTCGATCAGTTGCTTGACAATCACATCAGAATCTATGTCGAAACGTCGCCTATACAGAATAAAGAAGTTGTATATCCATAAACTAGTCCTCATTCTTTCAACAAAATGCATGTAAACAAAGTATATCCAAATCTAACTTGCATGATAATTACAAACATTAATGGTGTCATCACGATATCAACATCGTATTGTATATCCATAAAAATAGTCCTCATTCTTCATCTACCCAACTTCTAGAATACCAATCAAAGAAGTATACTTTGTTTACTTTGATATTATAATAGTCACGTACTTAACATCCCTAACCAGACGCGTTTGACAGACCTAGTTCAAACAGGGAATGGATAGTAACGTGCAAACTTTTAGGATCCGTCAGACAGTTTTTCACAGCTCTTACACATGCATCTACCTCAGAAGAAATGTATCATACTCGTACATATCTTAAACAGTGTCCCAAATCCATTATAAACTAAAGAAAGCTGACACGAATTTTCGTAAATTACAAACTGGCGACAGATAGTTTAGACTTCACAGTAAAGTTATTTAACTACCTGTTTAGTTTCTTTGACAGGCAAATAAAACGTCTATCATAGCAAAATACTACGGTCTCTTTACCGGGTTGTCAGTAATGAAAATTGCCTGTTTAAATCTTTAGTAGGGGTGGTGACATGTTGCAAGAAAGACAGGACAACATGGAGAGCGGCGACACAAATGCGCCCTTTTCTTGAGAATGAGCGTTTTACGTTATGTATGAAAGCACATTGCGCATTTAAACAGTTCGCGCTTTGACCATATCATGGTTAATTACTGCAGTATCTGAAGCCGCATTCACCACTGACACTTACTCTTTAAATGATGTCGATTTACATGTCTGGGAGCATCGATATCGGTACACGTGCTAGCTAGACTTCTGAAAAAAAATAATTGAGAAAGAGCTTTCTTTATTCATTTTCATATTTTTGTGTGATCTGGGTTTGTGACAAGTAGGGATTTGTACGTGATGCTGCACGAGAAGTATATGTATACACAGTGAAGAATAAGCTCATATAAACGAAAATTAATGTGAAGATAATTTCTGGATGTAATTACAAGAGGCATGCATCATTTGAAAACCGTACGTTTTACTTCGTAATAATAACTGTGCAATGAAACCAAATCTGCTTTAAAAAATAAAACTATGTATATGTTCGTTTTTAGATTAGGTATATGGATTATAATTTTAGTGTAAAGAATAACACTGAGATTTTTTAATGTAAAGCCAAGTTTCTACAACATAGCTTAGAGTTATGCCCCTTGTATAAGTCTTTTCGCTCTAGGGCTGAAAAGTGAAATGCAATACTCTTGTTATTTATAAATATAAACATAGATATCCTCCTTTAGCACCAAGAACGATTGTATGAAAGCGTACCTAGATACTGAAAATGATTAAGTAATCTATTCTGATACAATGACAGATCACATCTTTTCAAATCTAACAGACAGCGAAGTATTCATAACATGGCTTTAGAGGCTATCTCCGCGAAATAAACATGGCGGGTGTTTTGTTTGAGGATATTTTTGATGTTAAAGATATTGATCCAGATGGCAAGAAATTTGACAGAGGTGAGTGAAACTTTGTTCCGTGGCCTATGTTTAAAGTATGTAACCGCCCGTCATTTAATGATGGCACTGAGGCAGCTGTCACCATAAACAGACCAGGTCACCTCGCCCTCGGATAGCACCGGCTCCGAGCATGGCCGGACATGTGATTTTGTGTGATGCGCAGTATTTTGTTTTGGACCGCAGCCAAAATGATGACGGTTGATGTTAATGCCGTTTTTAAAGAAATTGTATTGTGACTGTTTAAATGCGACATGTTGCTATGGTGATTTTTATTTATGATCGACCCCGCCTTGCGTGGTCGGCTGCGATCGTACCCGGCACCCGATAGCATGTTATGACATGTCACCAGAAATCGTGAACATTGGACGATCTGTCAAACATTGCTGAAAGCACGCCAGCCCTGCACCAAGCGCGGTCTGTCCCGGCGATGTTCTCTCCCACTTTTACCGCACCAAGTCCACATATGTGGACAGCCACCCCCGGGACAACGATCTCCACCCTAGGGGATGTTCCCAGGGAGGGAGCAGGCGTCGGCTAGGAATATTGAATGGTGAGCTGTCTATATTCGTTTAAATTCAGTGACTTTTTTGTACATACGATACTTAGGACATGTAAGGGCATGTACCTTATCTTCACATTCTTATTTATTAAACTACTTATGCATTTCTGCCTGAAATATACTTTTGCTATTAATGAAAATGTGGAGTCAATAGTAGCTGAGGCATGAACTTTTTTTTGCTGATTTGCAGAAACTTTGATATCAAATAATGAAAAATTCTGACTCAGCTTTTTTTGCTATGTGATTCATAATTAATGACACACAAACAGAAAAGTCGTGAGAACTGATGTACATGATGTAGGAACAGAGTAACTTCTAGGACAGCATCAGAGCTGATATTGTGCAGACCCTGTTGCTAACATGTCATTGTGTGTTGTGTCTGTTTCATTATTGATTCATTTAAACCATCACAAATTTTTATGAGTTCATATTGAGGATCTTAAACCTCAGTTCAATTATGTGGTTTCAAAAAGACACAAAACTGTTGAATAGAAAATCATCTTGCAAGACAGGACATGCTTTACGAAGTTCAGGTCAGGCTACTCACAGATAAATATCTATTCTTATCTGATTCAGCTGTTATTGCTAACTCCTAAGCTTTCTGGTTCATGTTCAGACTGCTGCACTCCTCCACTCCGCTGTTGGGTTTTGTGCCCTTGTGTCGTGTGTTTTATGATGAGTTGGGGGTAGGAATAGTAAGGCAGGTCTCCTACTATGTTGGCAGAGTGGTGGGGTAATGCAAAGACAGTTCAAATTGACCAACTGCCAACCTACAGAGATTTAGGAATAGAACATTTTTTTTCAAAATCATGAAAATGTTCTTATATTTGCAAGATCAGTGTTTTATTTTGTATTGGTTAATCACTATAAGTGGTGAGTTGTTGGTGATGGAATCCAGGTCCGACTAGGTTGTACTAAAGGGTGCAGGTTAGATCACGACTGGGTGGTTGCTAGGGTGCACACGACAACAGTGACCGAGTCAATGACTGTCTACTGAGCGATCAGCTGACACGCTGACCTTAGTTCTGGTGGGACAAATGTCACATGATATACTGCCGCTAGCAGGCGAATAAGGAATTTATGTCACTTGATATATATTGCAGGTAAATAACATACATGGCTTGGTATACTGTGGCTACATGAAATACTGAATCCAAGGGTGCAACACATGTGATATACTTCACAAGCTCATGTTACATGATATACTGCGACCAACTTGCAACTATCAAATTTTATACCACAACCAACATACAACTATCAAATAATATATACTGCAACCAACATGCAACTATCAAATAATATATGCTGCAACCAACATGCAACTATTAAATGATATACACTGCAACCAACATACAACTATCAAATAATATATACCACAACCAACATGCAATTATCTAATAATATATACTGCAACCAACATGCAACTATTAAATGATATACACTGCAACCAACATGCAACAATCAAATGATATACACTGCAACTAATAATATATACCACAACCAACATGCAATTATCTAATAATATCAAATGATATAACCAACATGCAACTATTAAATGATATATACTGCAACCAACATGCAACTATCAAATAATATATACTGCAACCAACATGCAACTATTAAATGATATATACCACAACCAACATGCAATTATCTAATAATATATACTGCAACCAACATGCAACTATTAAATGATATATACTGCAACCAACATGCAACTATTAAATAATATATACCACAACCAACATGCAATTATCTAATAATATATACCACAACCAACATGCAATTATCTAATAATATATACTGCAACCAACATGCAACTATTAAATGATATATACCACAACCAACATGCAATTATCTAATAATATATACTGCAACCAACATGCAACTATTAAATGATATATACTGCAACCAACATGCAACTATTAAATAATATATACCACAACCAACATGCAATTATCTAATAATATATACTGCAACCAACATGCAACTATTAAATGATATATACTACAACCAACATACAACTATTAAATGATATATACTACAACCAACATACAACTATTAAATGATATATACTGCAACCAACATGCAACTATTAAATGATATATACTGCAACCAACATGCAACTATTAAATGATATACACTGCAGCCAACATGCAACTATCACGATATATACCATAACCAACTGTTGATAGTCAAATGATAGATGCTGTAACAAACAAATAGTACTTGCAAAATCTATACTGTAGCAAAAACTGACAGCCACAGACAAGAGTCACAGAACAAAGACTGTAACCAACAAGTGAGGGGTGTCCACTTCTTGGCTCATCTGTGAGGGACATTTGACTGATTTGGAAATTCCTTTTCCATCTCACAACAGTGTCATAGGATGGGCTGTCATCACCATCAACAGATTTCATCTCATCGTGAATTTGTCGTGCAGTGCAAGAACTTAGTTACACTGCGCCTCAATCTTCCCCATACTTGGGGGTACTGGTGTGTATGATCAACTCGCACAAGACTGAATGTAGTGAAGTAGATAGTTCTTGGTCCATTAACTAGATAAGGATCACTGATGTTACAGTAAAAATTGTATCCTGATTGCTCAGTAACTTCTTATTGATGATTGGAACTTTTTGTTACCCCCTCGTACTGTATCAGGGGCGGTGGGGTAGCCTAGTGGTTAAAGTGTTGGCTCGTCACGCCGAAGACCCGGGTTCGAATCCCCACATGGGTACAATGTGAAGCCCATTTCTGGTGTCCCCCGCCGTGATGTTGCTGGAATATTGCTAAAAGCGGCGTAAAACAAAAAAACCCTCAGTTGTACTGTATCACAGACAAGAGTCACACAATAAAAACTGTAACCAACTGACAACAGTCTAAAGATCATTTTGTACGGCGACCTTGCACCATATACTTACTGAAGGCACATTACTGAAATGGCACATTGAAAACAACAACCAACACCCTTAAAGGGGAAGTGTACACGAAAAAGTCATGTTCTTTCTTATGTGAACCAAAATGGAATTTTTTAATTACTTAATATCAGTGTTTGAAAATATACACTAATTTTTCTTACAATGAGTGTATAACCCGCACTATAAGTGCTGAAATGTTATGCCATTATGAGGCCTCAGTTTGCCGAGCTAAACAGGCCAGAGTTACTGCCCTTTGATTATGACGTAATTGGTGCCAGCTGATTTAAACTGGTCTCCTGTCTAGTCCCAAAGCCAAAAGATGTAAATTCTGACATTAATCACGCAAAAACATGGATGTAAAATACGAAAGAAGCATTAGAACTGACCATGTAAGCAGCAAGATAGAAATGATCGTGTGTATTTTCATTCATAACCTCACCTCAATGGAAATATCAAATATGTATAACAATGTTGACGTATGTATGACATCACTATCGGGAAGCGACTTTCTCAAAATGGCGTGCCTATCTTTGTGATGTTTTTGGATATGGTTTCAGCATCAATGTGAAGGTTGAAGAGGACGGACATATATTGTACGATTTAAATGTAGGAATGTACCAAACGTAGAATGCCTTCTCATTCACCGATGGCACGCTAGATGTAGTGCAGATGTACGTTCGAGTTTTGGTGAAAGAAGTTGATTGGAAAGACCACCGACTCAGGTTGAATGTTATACAATTTGGTTAAGTGGTAACACTTTTTGTAAAATGTAACAGCTAGTGTGGAACCAACCACATAGCCAGCTGACGGCCAGGCAACAGGTGGATTAAAACAGTTGCCTGCGCATCGAGACACAAGAACCACACCTATACCTGCACCACGTGAAATGGTTCTAATAAGGTCTAACGACGTCGTTCGTTTATCATATGGGCACCATTGACGTCATTTCCAAGGGACATAAGCCATGGTGTGTTCATTGTGGACATAGAACATTCGGTTAATGTGGAAACTTTGAATTGGTATAACGCAAAAAATAAATTAGTTACTTCTGATATCTGTGTTGTTTTGGCTATAAAACAACTTGACAAACATTTCTTACGATGAAAAAGTGGGAAACAAAAAGGTTAATTTTCGTGTACACTTCCCCTTTAAAACACATGTTTATCATATACGGCATGATACAGGTCCTTATAAATAAAGTTCATATTTATGGAAGTTTAATCATGCTTATATTTTGCTGATGACATCAGAAATACATGCAATCTCTAAAACTAGTAAAAGAATTCCTTCATCTTATGGTTTGGTATGCAGAGATGCCAACCTCTACAATTTTAATCAAAGTCACTACGAATTTTAGCCCCAAAATACGCCAATACGATTGCACTAGAAATTCTATGAATTTTGAAGAAAAATTCATTAAAATTCAGATATAAAGACAAAAACATTTATTTTCGTCGATTAAATACGTTATCGCCAAAGAGAGATGACAAGAAGAAATATAATGCTGATAATTTGGAAATCTG